AAGGGGGGGGAGGGAGGGAGGGACGGTCCACTCGACCCTCGCTCGATACAGGGATCTTGGATAAACGGACAAACGAACCAAATAATTACGCTAATTAAAGCCGCCCAATTTGTGCTTTAGACAATTAAAGTGCCGAGGGTAAGGTAGTCTAACTCATTAACAGGCGGGGGTCGCCTACACACAGGGGCGCGCTTGCCGTGTGTGAATACATCGCACGCGCACCCGCACGTCCTTGTGTCTTTCTCTCTCTCTCTCTCTCTCTCTCTCTTTCTCTCATTTCCTCTTGTTAGCGGCAGAGTGTATGCGCCACTGTGTGCGGCAAAGGGGCACGCATAATGAGCGAGGGTGCCTGGGTGAGAGGGCAATCCGTAAGGGTGGAGGGCGCACTTGCTCGCGAATCTTTTGAAATTGAGGGTCACGCTATATTTTATAACTTGTCATGATATAATCGAGAATCGTGGAAGCGGTCATATGTGCAATATTACCAACAAATTCATGCTAGAATCAAGTCGTATCGTGAGATTTATATCAATTTCATCGTTTCATAGATTATTCTCGTTTCATAGATCGATTTTGACTTAATTATCAGTCCCTGGAGATCTCGTCGAATTCTCGAATTACTGCTCCGTTCCCGAATGTACACGCGTGAAACGCCTGCCTTTAGAGACGCTTGTTAGAGCAGGCAAGATTGACACGTCGGTCGCAATTAAAACGTAAGGGGGACCGCGTTCGCGCAAATTGCGTATCAAGTTAGAGGAGTCGGACAAGGCGGGGGGGGGCGGAGGGGGGGAGCGAGGCACTCGTATTATCATTGGTGAAATCAACTAATTAGAAATTGCGTAGACCGCTCGTTAAAGATCGCCCTGCCGGCCGTAATCGCCAATTACTCTCTTAGTGCGGACTGCAGTGAACTTCGCTCATTAAAATTATTAAACGCCGCGGGCGACGAGGCTCGGCATTTGACGTTTCTACGGAGTGCAGCGGCTACATTGTGTGGATAGCCGAATTTTTGCGACCCACCCGGCCGCGGAGGGTTATAAGAAGTATAAATTGCAAATCGTATTTTTTCACGGCGCATTCTCTAACGAGTCCGGTTTTCCTCCAGGAGAGATCATATACATAATAGAACGTAAATTGTACCGTACGAGTAATAACAAGTACAGGAAGTAATTAACTATATTCAGAGAGTTAAAATATATATTTAGCTGTAAATTTTTTCCCTACTGTTTTAAGTTTTAAGTTTTACACACAGTACGGATTCCGTGCGACGCGGGCGAGATAAATCTTGATGCGAGATCAATGTTTTATCAAAGATATATAGAGATTGTTATTAGTCGGCCGTGCGCGGCGCGTGATAATATCGCATCATAACAGACGGTGTCCGTTGTCATTCATCATCGGAGCTGAACCGTTATTCGCTAGTTACTTTCGATCAATTACTCCGCCGGCAGGGCACGAATGCCTCCTCGCTCAGCCTATTAGGATGGAATACCCGATATTTAATTTAATACAACCGTTCTGATTACGGCGAAGATCTATACAGATGTCGGAACGGCAAAAATTCTACCGCAGCCACTTTAATTAACCGCGCTCCGACTATCACACGTTTGCTGCGATCAATATAGTTGTCAAATACATCTAAACTGTTAATGAGCCAGGGGCTAGGGGCTCGTTTCAAGTAACGATAATTAAGTAAAATAACGAATAATTTGCGCGCTCTGTTTGAGCACATTTTTTACGACTGTCATAAATAAGACTCACGGATAATCGAAAATTCTTGCTTGTCATCAGCTTTCCAGAATGGTCACGTAAAACACGCGTGAATAATGATACTGGTAATGGCGTCGGACGATTAAGAGGCCAGAACGAGATAGAGAGACGGAGAGAGGGGGAGAGAGAGAGAGAGAGAGAGAGAGGAGGAGGAGGAGAAAGGAGAAGCAGATTTTATGGCTGATCCTCGATCATCAGCTATATAATTCCTTCTATCCGTTCTAGCTGATTGACTTGGCCGTCGGCCTCTAATTAGCAATTATGGAGAAATCGAAAATACGCTGAGCGATTCGATCAAGCGGGATGCATACCTACATATCTCCGCTTGTTAAGTTCGCGAGCGATTCGGCCCGGAAGTAGATACACGACCGAATCGATATATAAAGAGAGATTGCAATTAAAATCAACCACTTCGATTCATTTACGAGACGCCTGACGCCTGAAACTTGCCGAGGAAACGATATCCTTCGATTAGTATCTCGCCCACGTGCGGGACGAGCGATGCGTCTTTTATAACGTCTTACGTAACGCGCGAAAGTTTTAATCAATGGTTAATTGATTTGTTGGAAATAATTGAATTAATAAATATGTCGGAATATATATTTCGAGCAACGGTTTCCCGACAATCCCGACAATTTTTTATTCGCATTTAAAACATAAACGGACAATACGCGTCTCATGATCGATCATCGTATTTAATTAATGCGTGAAACACCGTGCGTATACGACACTTCGCTTTCTCGAACTGCGTGCCGATTTACACACGAGAAAGTAACAATACGCGTCTGACGGTTTCTCACACGTTTCAAAATTTGCGCATCGCCATTTTCTTGCCGTAAAAAAGTAGGCAAAATTGTCCGAGCCAGGGACAGCTTGTTCGCATCCGCGTTTTGCAGCAGAAGAGAGAGAACGCGCATTTATAATTGAACCGTTGCGAACGATTGAAGACAAACCACAAAAAAATGAAAATAAAAAGGGAAGAAAGAAAAAACAACAAAAAGCAGGGGAAAACGAGGGGAGGGAGGGAGGGAGGAAGGAGGGGGGAGGAGAGAGAGAGAGAGAGAATAAAAAGGGAAAGATTGAAACGTCATTCGGGGGAGCAATCATCGAGATACTGGCCGCGTGATCAGCTGTGGATCCCGGGCAGATAAATTAGCAATTTAATTATAGAACTGTCAGCCGGTAATTAAATTAATAACGAGAAACCTCAAATCCAATCCGCTCCGTCGTCGTAACAGCCTTATGCGCGCTCTCGGAGTAAAGTCCGACGCAGACATCAATATGTCGACTACCTATATCGCGCGTTTCAAAAGTCGATTTAATTAAATATTCCATTAGCGTTAATTGCGAAGTTCGATTTTGACAGTGGCACGTATACCGTGACTTCGGGGGGAACGATTTTATGTGGGGCTCGAGATAGATCGTTAGACCGGCGAATCTCTTTCCATTTCATACAAAATGTTCATGCTTCATTCTTGAATCCGCTATTGGGGATGACGGCCGAGTGTGTGCGTGCGCGACGTACCCGGGTGCGTCGGATGCGTCTCCCTCACGGAGGAGCTTCTTACGCCGTCGTGCATTGGAGAGAGAGAGAGAGAGAGAGAGAGAGAGAGAGAGAGAGAGATGTGAGATCGTGGATTCGCTCACCTCGAATCCCCATTCGACATACCTATGTATCGTTACGTAGCTAATTGCTGCATAAACAGCCGACTTTACGAGCTAACGGGTATATGGCTGACAACCGCTTCGCAAACATTAACTGCCATTAACGCAGGATACGAGCGCGTCGTGTCGCATCGCGGCGATATTCGAACTCGGTGTGTTTCCGCGGACGAAATTGTCGAAAAATAATTCTAGACCCCGACCACCGTACAGTCGCAGACATCTCGCGCGGCTGTTCTCGGGAACGCTTTCATCGATGATTAATGCGTTTTTCGTTCGGAATATCGCGAGTCATCAGTTGACGTCACGAGATCGAATGAACCAAATCTGAATGAAATCTTTTTGGTTTTTGTCGCAGAATGTTCGGCAGCAGTGGCGTCTGCGGGAGTTGTGGCAACGCGATACCCGCGAACGAAATGGTCATGAGGGCTGGCGACTCGGTGTTTCACGTGAAATGCTTCAACTGCAATAAGTGTGGCGGTCAGCTCGTCTCCGGCGACAGGTGAGTCCTCCGCTCATGAATTCTTCCTCTTTCTCAGACTACGGATACGGTGGACGTGTGTTCTGATAAACTTTTACTCTTACGAATTTGTCTCAACTGTGGGAGAGATCGGTGGTTCCAATAAATACATATTTTAGTGAAATATAGTTTTGTAATATAAAAGTTTGAAATTTTAAGAGCTTGGTATTCGTATAATTGGGTTTTACTTTAAGATAGTCTTAAGACGCTAATGAGGCTTTGTGATTGGCTTACGACATCGACAGATTATTAAGACGATTTTAAATATAAGAACCGACTATAGCTGGTATTCATAGTCGAGTTTTATGTTTAAGATTAATCTTAAGTACAGTTTTAAGATGTTATAAATCAATCAGAGTGCCGTTTCAGCAAAAATTAAGACTATCTTGAAGTAAGAACTAGGAATATCGACTTTATACCCATTTCTATTAATGTAGATTAACTTTAGAACTTACTTTTTATCTTTTTCTAGTTCTAAGAATTAGGACTAACATACATTCTAAAACGTTCTCTCCAAAGAAAAGATTTTCTATGTATTATTAACTATAGTATATGTTACGTTACTATATATTTCGAGTAAAATTTTCCTCGCAGAGGATATTTAGAATGCACCCTAGAAAGGAATAAAGAATATATTAAACCGAGATTAAAGTTAATCAATACATTGGTAAAAATGGACATTGGTATTGCAATAATACAAGATGAATGACATTGATTTATACTTTAAAAAGTTTATTATTAAAAATTTTATTTCTGCGTAACAATATATGCGAATAAAGGATTTTGCTTGAAGAGAAAGAAATGGAAAATGCTGTTTCGTCGACTAATCTCCTACTTCTTGCAAGATATGTCGGTTGTAATAAGCTTTTTCCCTTATATACAGACTTCTATTTTCAAACTGATTAATTTCAATATCCATTTCAGCAAGTCACACGAATTCAGACGAAGAAATAAGCTCGTTTGAATGACAAATTTATTCCGACGAGTTCATCTGGCACACACACATGCGGTAGTAATCGACTCTTATAGAAAACATATTCGTCAGAACGCGCGTCCACTGCGTCCATCTATCCGTATAAGCCTTACTTTCGGACATACTCCCACCCGTCTGGCGAGGTAGGCCTTTACATGACACTCATTTTCTCACGATTTCAGATATTACCTACTATCGGGCTCGCCGATTTGCGAATCTGACTGGCACAAGATAGTGAAATCGTCGAGCGTCGCGGCAGCGGCAGCCGCGGCGGGCGGGAACAGCGGCACACCCGTTAGGAAAGGTAAGGTCGGCAGGCCTCGAAGGAGCCGCGAATGAGGCGGCAACCCGGTCGGTCGCCCGAAGAAGGTGCAACCCTCTCCGCAGCCGACGCCCCCCGTCGTACCTTCGCCTCAGGTAGATGTAGTGGACGTCGCCGTCGGAGTGGATCCCTATTCGCCGCCTCCGCCGGGTCATCAGCACTATCATCAGTATCACCATCACCACCATCACCAGATGGCACTCGTGCATCCGGGTCTGGCGGCTCAGCAATCGCATCTCCAGGCGTCCAGCTATCAGGACTGGTCGTCCTGGGCTCAGGACACCTGCGATTAGACCCGCTGTCCGCCGTAACAGGACTGTGTACCTCCCTTCCCCCCCCCCTCCCCCCCAAAGGACGTCGCGATGAAGAATCCAGCCTAATTTGCCTAACGTCGCGTGCCCAGACTCTCTTCGGGAGGATCGCAAAGAAGGGAAAAGGCCAGCGTAGCGCGTCCCTTGGAAATCGCGGCGACTCTACGAGTGTCTCTGGACTTGGAACCGTGATACCGAATGTACTTGAACTTGCCGCGGTGATCGAATGTCTTCGTACACGCGCGGCGCCGTGATGTTGAACGTGATTGAACTCTCGCCGCCGGACACCGAGCGTTTTTATGTTCTGACGTGTGTTGACGTGTCGAGTGCGTCGAAACTTTATCGTGGATGCTGGGGAAAACTGTCTTTGAACTTGGATAATTCGGATAATCACAGGATATATCTCTGGAACTTGAAACGCGAACGTTTTGGTTCTACATAGTGGATGTGCAAACTTCTCTCATTCAAACTGACTACAAAATAACAAACTCTTTTGAAGAAGGGTTCGCACTAATGTCGAGATATCGATGTCGCGAATATCGAAAGCATTCTTACGTTAATTCAGCATTATTTGAACGCTATCTTTGCACAAGATAGCGCTTTTAATCAGAATTGTTGTTTTATCGCATCTGCGATAAAAGTTGAGACGACACTCGACACCGCATTGCAGGAGCACTTTCGCCACGAATCCGCCGGTCTCCTTAATAATAATCTTTGCTCAATTGTAAAGAATCGAAGAAAGTTTAAGATACGACTCATCGTGCATCCATCATCAGCCGCAATAGTATGGCGTCAAGTACTCTTCTTGAAAATCCTTTGCAGCCATCGTATTACGATTACCTTGACACAGGATGCGAAATGTAGAATTCGTTGACACTAACGCAACTTGCAACAAGCGATTTTTCGCACGTTTGCGAAATATCGAAATAATTCTGTCCGCTTTCGATACCATTCTCATTCCTCGATCATTCTGACGTCAAAAGTCTCTGTGTTATCTTACTTTATTATACGATTAAGATTGTCTCAATTCTCGATTTACGATTTTAGTCTAAATTTTTTTAATTGATAAATATATACATTTCCGCGAGCGCGCTCTGTCGATTCTTGGTTGTCGCCACTTCGGGAGGCGACACGCGTCCTTGGAACGGTGTTGCGTGCTAAATTCGGCATGTGCGATCAACGAAGATCTAATCGCGCGAGAAAGATGGCAACCGGAAGGCGAGGGAAAGAGAGAGAGAGAGAGAGAGAGAGAGAGGGAGATAATTTAACGGCGATCGAACGAGAAATGCGAAACGACGACAACGCGCAGTTCTGGACCCTTAGAAAATTATTTTTCTTTCAAAATCACCGTTCTCCCGCGTCGATCCGCCGCCGCGCTTCGTAAACTCATTAGGCGGCCCTTGTTCCCGCCATCGTTAATTGAGTGCCGAGGTGAGACGAACGACACGGAATTATCATTCGAATCCTTCTTGTTAAGCATCCTCTCCCCTTTCTCATTCCATCTTCCTCTCCCTTTCCTCTTTCCATTTACTTGCATTTTTACGTTTTCTCTCTTCCTTCCTTGAGAGTTTATCATTTTCGAAATAGCATAATCAATTAATCCCTCTTAGGATGCCACTTTGAATTCGGCAACCTGTTAGTGATTCCTTGCTGATGGCTGAGGAGGGATTTCTTGAATTTTGTAATTCGATCGCCGATAATGATTCCGAAGGGAGACGAAACGTCCAGTGACATCATCTTCTTTCATTCAAGTAATAACAGTTTTTATTCTATAATTTATGTGCATCTTCAACCGCTACATTGTACTTTCATTAGCCTTATTTTTGCCTTATCACTGATATCAATTAAGTCTCTCGCTGCAGCCATGTTGGCACAACCGAATCAAATTTTGTCGTAATTATAATTACTTTACAAAGTTTCATGTGGCGCAGAAGTAATCGATGTTGTTCCCGAGAAAGAGTACAGCTCAATTATTTCCTCCCCCCTTCCCCCTCTCTCTCATTTCTCTCTCGCGTTTGGCGAAATCTACATTATGCATTTATTGTTAAAGTAAATCGACAGGGTTGTCTGAAGAAACGTACGTTTTCCAGTAACACACAACGTTACGATAAGTCTAACTTTCGATCGAAAGAGCGTCGATCCTTCATCGAGATTTAACTTAACGATTCCTTGTTGTCGCAGTTCTCGAATAACTCTACGTTCGTCCGTCGAGCATTTTCAAAGAGTAAACGCGTGCTACTGGCACGCGCGAACCGGCACCCGTTGCGTACATGTTAGTGACATAACTTCGCGGCGAGCAAGAAGTGACATTGGCATGCAACGGCGTGCTCGAAGCTCAAAGTACAACGGATTCAGCGGCGGAATGAGTTTCGGCGTGAAATGTGTATTATAAGAGCAAGGTCGCCCTGTGTTACTCGTTTCATTCGTCAAATGCTCTCATTTGAAATGACGATTCTCGAGCGCATTGCCACAATCTCCGATCGAGCGCGTCGCTCGCACCTTGAAAGCTCGCACCGCCGTGCGTTATGATTCATGCGAGCGGAATGCGGCCGTGTACCACGGAAATTTCACGAAAAACGACGCTCAAGAGTCATGATGATCCGACGATTCGCTGAGGAATCTGGACGATCCGGGATTGCGAGATCACAATCGCTAGTCGACGCCGCCAAGGATCGAAGCCGATTTCATGACTCTGCAGCCGATGACGCCGACGGAGGCGGTAAAAAGCGGCATATACAGAAGTGTACATGTAGATTGGGCAAGAAGTCGCGCTGAAGGATTATGTCAAGGATGCACAAACTCTTTCGACATCGGCCCTCGGATAGAGGGCAATGGCGCTTGTCACAGATCTTTCGACCAGACGCACGAACGAATTCCTAAAAGAAAGAAAAAAAAAGAAAATAATTTTCTTAATTCTCATTTTCGTTCTATTACTCTCCACATTTTTTGAAGTGAGATTTCATTCCAAGGAATTTCGAGAGTACATTTCTCGGATATATAAATCAGTGGAAATTTGTGTAAATTGCGACTGAGAAATTTATACAGAATTGGACAGAGCTTGTATATTCGAACGTGTAATAATCGGGGGGAACAAATTTATTCAGCTCCGTTCCTGTTTCTTTTCGTTTGGCGCGTGCCGGATTGAGGTTTGTGCATCGTTGAATTGTGTAATTTAATCTTGTACATAGGGTACATTTTGTATATTGTTAAAAGTTTGTGTGATATAAATGGTTATGTATTTACTATCGAGCGCGCGAACGGCGAACGGGGCATCCGCGCGTTTATCCCACGGACGATCGGCCGATACGCGACGTGCCATGGTTTTCCGTTGGTCCTGCATCGTCGAGTGCGGTAACGTCGACGACGGAATACATTACTTACGAAATGTCGGTTTCGCATCGATCCGAAGTTTCGCTCGGCGCCAATAAGTCGTATTGTCCCGAGTCTCGAATGTACATAACATTAAATTTTGCATCGTTCTTTTTTTTTTCCACTTCCTTCATTTATTCGCTCATTTTTCGTTGTTGCACGTGATCCCAACGAAATTGTTTGAAACGTGGCGCTTAGTCGCCGAGCGAGCGATTGCTAAAGTCTAATTTACAATATGCTCTTCTCTTCTTGTCTCTCGCCTTTTTTTTTTTTTACCACTTTTTACTTCTTGCTTTTTCGCCTCTTATCCAGTTTCTTTGTTTCCCGTTGGCCGAGATAAAAGTTGATGAACTTCGGAAGGGACGAGAAACGCGATTGTACAAAAAAAAAAATATGAAAAAAACGATTGCAAAAGAGAGAAAAAGGCACGAGCATAAAAAGCGAGAGAAACAAGAAGCAAAGAACACATTGCAGATTAGGCTTTCGAGATTCGCTCTTCCGATTGATGCGACGAGAGGCGACTGTCCAAGGACAGTGAGCGTCGTGAGAGTGACGAGGAGGCATACCGAGCTCGAGCGCGTGATCTCGTGACGGGATCTCGGGCAACGGCAATGGTCGTGAATGAAATAGCGACGCGGCGCGACGCGGCGGCGCGTGCTGCGTACCGCACCCGGCAACGCACTTCACGGACCCGGAAGCGAATAAGCGATCGCATCGCGCGAGGAGCACGGAAAGTCCCCTCCGCCCCTCCCCGCCCCAACCCGCTCCGCCCGGCCCGGCCGAATGGCACGCGCGCGGACCGCGACCCCGGTCCCGCGCGCGTCTATAGTTAATTTTGTTATTTCATTAATCTCGGACTCTTCGTAATCGGGACCCGACATCTGTATGTGGTTTCGCGGCCTCTTGTAAAATACAATTACACCCATGGAACACAACACGCGCATACACACAATCGTACGCGAACACGATTTATTAATTAATAAAAAATCACAAGTTTTTAGAAAAACGGGGAAGTCCCCCACCCGTGGTCGGTGTCATTGATTTCCCCAGTCCCAGTTTCGCAATCCCAGATTCTCTTTCAGGACTACCACCGCTGTGCGCTGAACGTCGGTGTGTACAGCGACGGGCGGCGTATCGCTGGGCAGATACGCAACGTTAAAATTCCTATTACAATCGTGAGGGTAAGAAGAGAAGAGGAGAGTATCCGGTTTAATTTGGTTAGCATTAAGCGGAAAGGGAAATCGATCACGAAACCATTCCTTACCGCCCGCCCTCCCAAGTGGCTGAATTAATTCGAATGATTCGAATGTTTCGTTTCGGCGCGACGGCCGGTTTTCAAGCCGACGCGACGCGACGATGAGAGCGCGCGCGGGCGACCCGACATTCTCCAGTCGGATAGGTATTTAACGGACGTACACGTGTCCGACCATATTGCGTTTGTGTCGTTCGATAAATAGGTGGCTAAGCAACTCCAACGGAAACCCGTGTTAATTAACGTTGAGTTTCAGGACTGATTTACGTGGCGTCTAATTAGCGGGCCTGCCGGCGACGTAGTAGGCATTTTGATTGGCCGCTCCGCGAATAGAACGCGGTCCGATTGGCCTTGCCGCCGTGTCGTATCGATTGTTCTCGCCTCTTCTCCTCCTCCTCCTCCTCCTCCTCCTCCTCCACTGCTCGTCCAGAGTTTCTCTTTTTGTTTCTTCTTAAAAACAAAAGCCGAATAGATGCGCCAAAGCGCACTCCCGAAACGAGAAATGTCTCCAGACCGCGATGCAACGACCGATTACAAATGTGAAAAAGCGGATCATCAGGCAATATTCGTAGTCCGTTTCTTGTTTCAGATGCTAATACGATTCACTGATCGGTCCGTGACATCTTACACGATAAAAAATTATTTTGTATTTACGTTACAAAATTATCGAATTCAAATCCTCGTTAAAATTTTGTGTCGAATTTTTAGTATATCCGAGTGTTAATTTGACGTAACATAATTGCGTTATTTGAATATTTTAAATTGATATTCAACATTTTTTCAGTGTCAAAGTGACACCATTTATGAATAACTGAACAAATAACAAAAATAACGTTTCTTAAAACGTAAATTCTAAGATAAATGAGAG